CCCCAAAACCCCAAAACCCCAAAACCCCAAAACCCCCAGCTCAATTGATTTTTTTAGAATTAAGTAATTAACAAATATAATTTTATGCATAACCTTGAAAATAAGCAAAAATTCGAATTTTCTCCTTATTAAAGAAGAGTCAAATACTTCATATAAATTGCTTTATAAAAGTCATAATTTTCTTGATTTATGTTTCTTCTGCAATCTCTTACTCTGACCATTCTAATGAATCTGTTTGGTCATGCCTGACTGATATATTTATTGCTAGGAGTTGAAGGATTGCTATGAGTCATCAACACTATTTTCAAAAGATGTATCAAGCCTTGATGTAATTGTTTCCAGTGGGAAAACCTAACTCATTAGAATGTCTGAATCTAAATCAACTCTGGAAGGAGAAATTCTTGGTGTATAACTCTAGATAACTCTTCTTAAAACTTTTCCATTACTATTATTGCTATTTATGTCGGAATAATGTTATGTTTCATATTTCTAGGCAAGTTGTGTTCTCCTACCAGTGAGTAGATTAGTTTACAAGATTGGTATTTTAGGATTTTTAATAGGAGAGGCTGCTATATTTAATTTCTTCAATGTACCATGCTAAAGAGTCGTATGAAAAGATGGAGATGCTGTTCCAAGGCTCGTTTTAGTAGTTTATCTTATGAAACTATTACCTGGCAGTCCACTAATAGATGTTTTAGTTGTGCTTTTATCCTGCCTCATTAATTTTACATGAGAGGTTTCTCCGTATTAAAAGTAAAAATTAGCCATACTCATATAGCCACCTCCGACTCTAACTAATAAAACTCCATTGTTAACTTTAGTAGTAACTTTTCTAGAACCAAATTAGTAGACATTAGCTTAGATCTTTGTTATTGGCATTGCCACATTATTAGCTTAAATAAATTCATTAATAAGTAAGTCGGTCTCATCAGTTTACTATTTAAAACTCTTTATTAAAGATTGATATATAGGACTTCTCGTTCTGGATACATTTTAAGATTATATTTTAGGCTTAATGTTAGACATCTAATTATAAGCTTCATTAGCCACGATTATCTCCTTTTCAGGAGTAATACTTCCGCTAGCAGCTCTACCTCTCTCAGATGCCTCATCATTGAAAGCTTCAATTCTTTCTTCATGAAGTTACTGGATTTTCAATAGTTTTAGCGATCTAAGTATACTTTTATATTCATCCAAAACATTGTTTGAAAGCTAAAGAGCTTTTTACATGTCTGTAACTATTTTACTCAGCACTATGAGATTCTAGTCCTCATCTTCACTGTTAAAAGGAATGCTTAAATACTTTTTGTTTATTTCCTCGTATTTGACATCAGATTGTTTTTGTCTGAGCTTTTATGCTCGAAGTTTGACTAATTCTTAGGGACCTAAAAAATCCAGTTAAGAACTGATATGAATCAACATCATATCAATGTTATCTTGTTTACGCATAATTTTTTCCTAGAATAATTGGAGATTCAGCTATGTTATCTCCCCATCAGTTTTGAGTAATCTGATGCAAGTTTCTTTTTGCTTTTAGACAAATCTTGATAATATACTGATACTGCTATCTTTGATTGATTATAATGTAGATAATTCTTAGCCAAATTAGTCATTATCTTCTTAAAGTATTTATAAAGCTTTCTTTAAGTTTTCAAATTAGTTCTGATAGTGATATTTTTCAGAACCTCTTGTAGTTTATTCTAGTAATTCAGCTGAAATTGATTGATATTTAGTGCTTATTTTAACAATTATGTCATTTACTTCATGTTTTAATTTCTAGATTTTTTAATTTAGAGATATTTGAATAGTACCAATATACATATCTCCTAGCTCTTATTTTAAATCTGTGAGAATTTTCTTTAATTTAAGAAATTTTTCTTTGCATAAATCTCTTTTACCAACTAAATCAATCACTTTATTAAATTACTCATTCAAAGAAAATTAATCTTGATAGTTCATGATAATTTCTTCCTTCGATTGATTTATCTCTTCATAAGCTTAATTTACTTCGTTGGCGTTTTTGCCTAATTTATTGTATTTTTTATAGCATTTTTTAATAATTTCATTCAATTTGATAGAAACACTTTCCTCATAATTGATATTATCCACAATTGATTACTGTATGAAACTGTCGAATTCCTTTATGGGATCTTCAAATAGCTTTATAGATTATATGACATTAGGCATATCTATAGCAAGCGATTTTAATGCACTTTGAAAATCAATAAGCATGTCAGATCCATCTTTAAACTAGATAAATCCTACAAATTATTATTTGAAGCTTTAATCCAATTAAATGAGATCATCCTTAAGTGGTTCGAGCTAGTTATTAAATTCTTCAATAGCTTCTATTTTCTGCTTGCAATTATCGTATGGCTGATCAATTAAAAATTTAAATTCTTCATGTAAGTCAAGCCTGTTATTCGTCGTTCTCTAAATTTTATCAATCATAGCTTCAAATTTTTTAGTCAGATCATTCTAAAATTTTTGTTAATAACTTTATTGAATATTATAAGCTGGATTCTTACTAAATAAGCTAATTTGTCTTTTCTTGCCACTGAACCAGATGGAAGCTTTGCCTTTGTGCTTTCAATTGCTGGATTTAATGAAATATTTATGAATTCCTCTATTTTATCTTGCATAACATTGATTTTATTTTCAAGAATCACAAATATATTCTCCATTTATTATACATAAAGATCTAAATACTGCTTAAATCAGAGAGAAAATGTTACCTGAAATTTTAAATTGTAATCTTTTCTATAAAATATTGAGAGTATTTAATTGAGGTGTCTATGATTGATCATCTTCCATCTCTTTTGAACATAATGCTCCCATTAAATAAATAATTTAACTTATATATATAAACTTT